CTGCCCATCCGTGTGGGCTCCTAGCACTGGTCCGCCGTTCTACTGCTCATCCGTAGATTGCTCTGTCTCCTGTTTCTCTCATAGCTGCTATGTATTTTCATAACTCTTCTCACCTGACTGACCCCACCACACCTCTCCTGTGCTTCAGTCTCAGTAGATGACATTGTCTCCTGCATTGAGGAACGAGGCCATGACCTATGGACCCTCCATGTGCTGTGTCTCCTGCATTCGCGCCCATCTTTTCTCTTTTGCTTCTGGAGTGCAGACCTGTTACTCGTCCTCCTGTCCAGTGCTAATTCCTTCAATGCTCTGGGTCTCAACCCTTCTTGCTTCTGCGGGGACTGTGCTACATCAGTTATCATTTCCCTTCACATTTGAATCTGCCTCCTTAGCATACATTTATATGTTTCTGTCCCTCTTATCTTAGAAAAAGTGAGAGACCTATTATTCTCTCCTTCCCTCCAGAACAAATTTAGATTACACAAGGTAAAGTTTACATTCTTTCCTTAACCCACTAAAATTCACCACCGCCTGCCCCACTGCTCCACCAAAACAGCTGTTCCTCTGGTCACTAATAACAGCCTAATTGCCAAATTATTTGGACAGTGTACAATTTATTTTGCTTTTGTGCTACATGTGACTCTGTTGGCTACCCCCTCCTACTTGCATTCCTTAAATTTTATAATGTTGTCTATTATAAATTTTGCTGTAATTTTGGTCATACTTTTGAACCTGCACGAAAAACTAAGCTGGACTCACCTTTGGTCTTATAATTTCATTAGAACGTGTTACTTCCTGGCAATCCGCTTGGTTTAGCACTGCCTACAGCAGCTTTACCATTGCGGATGTGTGTGTGATTTCTGGTTTCCCATCTCATTCTAGACATTCTTCTGATAAAGTGTCTAAACTAGAAGGCCAAGTGGAATCATATAAAAAGAAGCTAGAAGATCTTGGTGATTTGAGGCGTCAGGTTAAACTCTTAGAAGAGAAGAATACTATGTATATGCAGAACACAGTTAGCCTAGAGGAGGAGCTGAGAAAAGCCAACGCGGCTCGAAGTCAACTCGAGACGTATAAGAGACAGGTAAGGAGAGCAGCACAATTTCTTAACGCCGTTTCCAGCTGAGCTCTCCAGTGTAACGCTGGCTTATCAGAGTCCACTGACTTGTTTTCATGGTATTCGGTTTTTCACCTATGAAACTTAGTTCTTATCCAGGGCTTATTGGTTGGTCTATAGCAGATCCTTTTATTATTTGTTATTTTTAATTTATTGTGTAATACTTGAGAAATACACAAAAGTAAAAATACAATAAGTATCCATGCTTAATAAACAAAACATTCTCCCCCTCCTCATTGCAGTAACCACTAGCCTATTTTGTGGGCTTTGTGCCTATGCATCTCTTTATTCTTCCCTGTACATACACACACACATACATATATGTGTGTGTGTATCCCTAAAAACTTATAACACTTTTGACATTTCAAAACTTTATATAATGATATAGTGAAAGTTCTCTTCTGCGATTTGCTTTTGCTCAGTGGTATTTGTGAGATTTGTTTTGTTGATAGTTGTAGCTTTATCCCATTCACTTGTACCAACCTGTAGTATCCTGTTGAGTGACAATACCACATTTATCCATTTTTCTGGAGAAGGACATATAGGATGTTTTGTCTTTTTCTTTAATATTGCAAGAAAGGCCACTGTGAATAGTACTGAATACCCTCTTCGATACATGTGTGGAAGTTTTACAACTATGTGGAATATCTTCCTTAGAGAGCCTTCATTTAATTAGATATTGCCAAATGTCCTCCACTGTGATTTTATTACCAGCAGGCAGTTTGTATGAATTCTTGTTGCTCCACATCATCACCAACACATAGTATTATCAGATTCGAAATTTTGCCAGTTGAAGGATGTATTTGAAATGATGTCTCCTTATGATTATACTTTGCGTTACCCTAACTGCAAATATATTTACTGATCACATTTCTTTTGTGAATTGCCTACTTTTATCTTTTATTCATTTTTAAAGTTGGATTATTTCTTTTATTGATTCTAAAAGTTCTTTATTTGTTCCTGGTATTAATCTTTTGTCACATGTTGCCTTTATTTCCTAGCAGTCTGTGACCTGTCCTTTTACTTTTTTTGAGATTGATAATTTTAACATGATGAACTTTAAATACCTTTTTCTTTATGATTTGTGCTTTTTATAAAAAAATTTTATTGGAGTATAGTTGATTTACAGTGTTTTGTTAGTTTCAGGTGTATGATTTGTGCTTTTTATGTCTCAGTTAAGAAGTCATTTCCTATATAAAGATGTAACACTAATCTGTTTTCTTTACAGAGGTTTAAAGTTTGTTTTGTACATTTAGGTCTTTAATCCACAAGAAATTGATTTTCATATAGGGTGTGAGGTAGGGATCCATTTGATATTTTTCGTCTTTGTGGACAACCAGTCAACCTAGCAGCTTTTATTTAATAATCAGTCTCTTCTGCGGTGCCCTACAATTCTACCTTATCATATATCTAAAGTTACCATGTTATATGTGGGTTTGTTTATGGCGATCTCTTCTGTTTCATTGGTCTGTTTGTCTACTCTAACACCAAAACACTCTCTTATCATCTATAGATCTTTAGTAATTTTGATATTTGGGTAGTACAGATACCCACACTCTGTTCTTTTTCAAAATTGTTTGTCTATTCTTGGACCTTTCCGTTCCCTTTAAACCCCAAATCTTTGGAAATTGGAATTACATTGAATCTGTTGATCAGTTTAGGGAGAATTGACATCTTTATGACAGTAAATGTTCCTATCAATGAATATAGTATCTTTCCATTTATTTAGATCTTCAGTGTCTTTCAATTAAGTTTTATAATTTTCTTATAAATATCATGCACATATTATATTATAGTTACTCTTAGTACTTTATGTATTTGGTTGCTTTTGTAAATGCAGTTAGAAAAAGAAAAGATACCATTTTCAATGTGTTGCTCATTTATGTGATTAAATTGGTTTTTATATGTTGATTTTACAATCTTGCCAAATTCCCATATTATTTCTAATAATGTCTATTAGTTCTTTTGGCAGAAGTCATATTTTGTACAAATAAAAGCCATTTTGTTTCTTTCTATGGCATACCCTTTTTTTCTTCTTAATCAACATGGCTGACCTTTAGTGCAGCCTTTAATAGAAGCAATAATAATAGGCAACCATTTCTTGTTGATTTCATACACAGTGCTTTAAATGTTTTACCAGTATATTGTAAGGATTGCTATAGGTTTTGTAGCCACCTTTCGTTAGGATAACAAAATTTCATTGTATTCCTAATTTGCACAGGTGTTTATCTTAAATGGATGTTGAATTTAATCAGCTACACCTATTGAGAGACTCCTATGCTGCTTCTTCTTTCTAATAATCTGATGAATCATATTAATGGATTTCTATGTTTAAACCATCCTTGCATTCCTGAGATAAACTTAGTTCAGTCATAGCAGATTTATTTGTGGTTTCACATAGTTAAATTTGCTTTGTTCATTTTACTTGGAATATTTTGCCTCTATGATTTGTCTACTTAAAGTTTTCTATCTCGTGCTTTCCTTGTCTTCTGATTTTGGCATCAAAATTGTACTAGCTTACGGGCTTCCCTGGTGGCACAATGGTTGAGAGTCCACCTGCCGATGCAGGGGACACGGGTTCGTGCCCTGGTCTGGGAAGAGCCCACATGCCGCAGAGCGGCTATGCCCGTGAGCCATGGCCGCTGAGCCTGCGCGTCCAGAGCCTGTGCTCCGCAACTGGAGAGGCCACAACAGTGAGAGGCCCGCGTACCGCAAAAAAAAAAAAAAAAAATTGTACTAGCTTAATATAATAAATTAGAGAAGTTTTAGTAGAGCAACCCTGTACACCATGAATGTCTGGCAAGTTTTTTTTGGTGAATACATTTTTTCCCAACATTTCATTATGAAAATTTTCAACATATAACAAAGTTGGACTGAGAAATTACCAAAAATAAATGTAGCCCAAAGAAACTATAAATGTGATTAAAGGGTATAAAATTAAAATAAGAAATTATTTAATTAGAGTTCCAGAGGAAAGAATGGAAAGAATTGTAGGACATTATTTGAAGGAAAGAATGGCTGAATATTTTTCAGAATTGATGAAGGGCATCAGATTTAGTATTAACAGTGAATTACAAACAGAATAAATAAAAAAGAAATCTGCACTTACAATTACTGTAGTGAAATTGTGTAATACACTAATTCTCTATCTGTTTCTGATCTGGAGCTTAATATATTTTATTTTTCAGTATAATATTTTTCTTTCTGCAGTTTCTCTTTGGGTGCTCTTTCAAACCTGCTTGATCATATTTGGTGGTCTTTTATTCCTTTTATAATTTAGATTTCTTTATGTATTAAACCTAGTATTTTATGTCTGGTAACTCCAATTTGAAATCCTTAGAGGTCTTATTCTACTATTTTATTGTTGTTAGTGCTGTTAATGTTTTTCTGCTGACTGTTGTTCATAGTGTGTTATTTCTTTAAGACTTTTGTAATTTTAGATTTTGCTCTGTCATTTGGCTCATCTTTACCTTTGGGAATACTGGGGACCTGGTTGAGGTTGTGTTCCTCCAGACAATGTATGTTTTTCTTATGCCAGATTTTCCACAGCATTACCAATCAGGACGACTTTAAATTAATTGCTTGGCTTAGGATTTGCCAGACAAGGCATGTGGTAAAAATTCAAGCATAAATCCGTGCATTTGCAGGCTGTGGTTACACATTTTCAAGTTACACTTTTTAAAGCCCAGAACACTCACTTTAAGATGGGCAAGTTTCCTTATTGATTTTGCCAGCTGATGGATTTTTTTTCCTAACCTACCTGTTTACTGACTCACCACCTTTTATTAGAGTCCAAGGTAGTTTAACAGCAGCCTGTCTCCTGATAGTTTTAAAGGCCTGGGTTCCTGGTATTGCCAGGTGGCATCTCACACTGCCCATAGCATCCTCACAAACTTCCTGCTCCACTTTTAACCCCTGAGGATTTCCCTTACTTTGTTATAAGCCTAGCGATGCAGTTGTATTCTTTTCCCCTAGCATTTCTTTTGCTTCATGCTAAAAGGGTTTCCAGACTGCAGTTTCCTGTGTTACAGGAAGTGGAAGTCCTGTAGGTTTTCATAGTTTTGAACATTTGTTCCTCTGGATGATCTGGTTTTAGAACCCATAGTATCTGGGCAGATTTTTGTACCTGGTTCTCTCCATTGGGTTAGGCTCCTGTATCATGTGTATTTTTTTGAGTATTTTTGGGGGAGAGAATTTTCATAGATCTGTAGAAGAAAATAATAATAATTTCTAATGTTTCAAATTATAAAAATTAATGGTACCTTTCTATACAGGTAGTAGAATTGCAAAATAGATTATCTGAAGAATCGAAGAAAGCAGATAAATTAGATTTTGAATATAAGCGGCTAAAAGAAAAAGTTGACAGCCTTCAAAAAGAAAAGGATGTGAGTATATATATTAGGTATTTTGGTTTTGAGCAGTGCTGAGATTAAGAAAATGATATTTAATTCATGTTTTTGCCTACATTAATTTCTTCTTCTATTTATAAATTTGAGATTTTTTTTAAATTATAGAAGATTTACATTTGTGTTTCAGAACTAGATCTAAAATAAAAGATTGCTATTCTAATTTCTTTTTTATATATTTAACTTTTCTATCACTGTTGCTTCTTTTCCTTCATCTTGCTTGTGACTTTCTAGAAATTTATGTAGCTTTTCTGTTTTCTGTATGAAGACACAATTCTTTTTGTTATTGTTCAGGATATTTTGAAGCTTTTAAAAATATTTTTACTTTGTCGTGATTTATGAATATACATGATTTATGACTATTTCAGCATATTTTGAAGCTTTTTAAAATACTTTTACTTTGTCGTGACTTACGTTGTTTGATCTTTTATGTTTCATGAAAAGAAAGTTATTTACATAATAAGGTACTCATTGTTAAAGGATGGAGTGGGTGGTTTTGTTTCTTATGATTAACTGGGTAGGATCCTGCCTTGCACGCAGTAGATACTCAATATTGTTAAACGGGAAAAGAATCGTGTAATCGTTCCCTTCTGTGATCTTTCTGTAGAAGGTCAAAAGGTGTAACATGTCCATGTTCACCACTGTTTATCATTCTGTTAGGTAAGGCAAAGACCACTGATGAGTAAACTCATAAAGCTTGAAGCTAACTTTCCTCATTCTTAATGTCCCTCCAGAGGTTAAGAACAGAAAGGGATTCTCTGAAGGAAACCATCGAAGAGCTTCGTTGTGTTCAGGCTCAAGAAGGGCAACTCACAACTCAAGGTAACAACATTTCAGTAGCCCAAGCAAGGTTACTTATTTCTGATAGTATCAGGAAAAATATTAGATTCATTTTAAGATGATTGCGCCAAAGACGAGAACTTGAATTTGGTAAAGAGGCCATGAGATTGATACAGATTTTGAACTGTTACCCAGATTTTATGACTGTAGTTACGGGACTGGATTTACTTGCCTACTTTTTAATTTTAATTAAATTTAAATGTTTGGGTTTTATTAAATCAAAAGCATAAACAGTTGTTAAATCATCTCTGTTAATAATACACCTGAAAAGTTTTTAGTGACCTCTTTAGAAGTGTATCAGACTTTATACATCAGTGAGTTTTCTCGGCTGAGATGTGAGGTGGGTATCAATTCACTAAGGGACTTAACATCCAAAGTAGAAACCTTCTCCTTCTCACAGGAAAGGAGCAGCACTTAGGTGAGGGTTTACCTTCTACCACTCGAGGGATGCAGGACCCGGTTTCTGACTTACAGAGCTTCACCCTCTGTTCACTCCCACTCCGACTACCAACCCTTGGCTTTTCAGTTACCTGAGACTAGAATTCTTCTTTTCCTCTGACCACAGCCTCCTTTTCCCCTCCTCACGCCTTCTACCAAACCTGCCCATCCGCTCCATCCACCTTCAGCCCCCTCTGTAGCCTCTGCTGCTCGCCTACTGATCACCGCCGTCTCCAGCTCGCCCAGCCTGCGCACCAGCCACGTCCACTGTGTTCTCATCACCACTGTCTTTCCTTATCCTCTTGACTTATTTCAAGCCCTGATTAGTTTTATTCTGCACTCCAGATTACCAAGGCCAGCTAAAAAAATTATGTATCTTTCTGGTTTTCTCCTTTTCTTTTTTGTTTACTGAGGTATAATTGACATATAATATTATACTCTTAGTTTCACATGTACAATATGATTCGATATTTGTATGTATTGCAAAATGGTCACTATAGTAAGTCTAGTTAGCTAACATCTGTCCCCATACATAGTTGAAAAACATTTTTTTCTTGTGATAACTTTTAAGATCTACTCTCTTAGTGACTTTCAAATATACAGTACTGTATTATTATGTACACCATGCTATACATTACATCCACGTGACTTATTTATTTTATACCTGGAAGTTCGGACCTTTTGACCCCCTTCACCCATTTAGCCCAGCCCCACACCCCAGCTCTCTTCTCCATAGCGGCTGCACCGATTTACGTTCTCATCAGCTGGGCGCAAGGGCTCCCTTTTCTCCACATACTCACCAACACTTGTTATTTCTGGTCTCTAATAATAGCTGTTCTAACAAGTGTGAGGTGATAGCTCATTGTGGTTTTGATTTGTGTTTCCCTGGCGATTAGTGATATTGAGCCTTTTTCATGTACCTGTTGGCTATTTATATGTCTTCTTTGGGAAAATGTCTATTCAGATCCTTTGCCCATTTTTTAATTGGATTGTTTGGGTTGTTTTGCTATTGAGATATATGAGTTCTTTATATATTTTGGATATTAACCCCTGATCAGATAACTGACTTGCAAATATTTTCTTCCATTTGGTAAGTTGCCTTTTCATTTTTTTCATGGTTTCCTGTGCTGTGCAGAAGCTTTTTAGTTTGATGTAGTTCCACTTGTTTATTTTTGCTTTTGAGAAAATTATACATCTTTCTTGACTGTCCTCACCAAAAGACAAATTATTTCTGATCATAATTGGATCCTTGTTGCTGCTTGGTAGTCCTTTCATGTATCTCTAGTCAATTCTACATGAGTTTTCCCAAAATTTTGAGAATCTAGCCTTGAACCTTAATGCTTTAATTCTTAGGTCCTGTATCATCAAGAAAAGGGAGGCCATCTTATGTAAGCTTTCACATGTTTCTTTATTACCTTTAAACCTTATTCATGTATATATCCTTTTTTTCTTTTAATATTTATTTATTTGGTTGCACCAGGTCTTAGTGGCAGCAGGCAGGCTCCTTAATTGTGGCATGCAAACTCTTAGTTGTGGCATGCATGTGGGATCTAGTTCCTTGGCCAGGGATCAAACGCGGACCCCCTGCATTGGGAGCGCAGAGTCTTAACCACTGTGCCACCAGGGAAGTCCCTCATGTATATATCCTTGAGCTAGCATTTTTGCTCTGAAAATTTACCCTATGAACTAAAACATCATTTATAGTAGTGAAATTTAGAACCAACATAAAAGTTCAGCAGTACAGGAATGGCATTCTCATTCAACTGTAGACTTTAGAGCCATTAAAAAGAATGAAGTATATCTTATATATGCCTGCCGTGGAGGGCTGGGTATGTTATATCATTAAGTTGAAAAAGTAGGTGGCACCATTCATGATAAACATTCTTTTTTCAAAAATTTTTTTTAATTGAAGTATGGTTAATTTACAATGTTGTGTTAGTTTCTGGTGGACAGCAAAGTGATTCATTTATACATTTATGTATATTCTCTTTTGTATTCTTTTCCATTATGGTTTATTACAAGATATTGAATGTACTTCCCTGTGCTATACAGCAGGACCTTGTTGTTTATCTGTTTTATACACAGTAGCTTGCATCTGCCAATCCCAAACTCCTAATTTATCACCGCCCCCCACTCTCCCCTTTGTTAACCATAAGTTCATTCTCTAAGTCTGTAAGTCTGTTTCTGTTTTGTAAATGTCATGATAAACACTCTTAGCAATCTAGGAATAGAAGGAAACTTCTACAGCCTAGTTAAAGGACGTCTATGAAAACCCTACAGCTGACCTCATACTTAATGATGAAAGACTAAATGCTTTTCCCTAAGATCAGGAACAAGGCAAGGCTGTTCAGTCTTGCCACTTCTATTCAACATGGAGGTTCTAGCCAGCGCAGTCAGGCAAGAAAAAGAAATAAAGGGCATCCAGAAAGGAAAAGAGGATGTAAAAAATCATAGATCTGATAAATGAGTTCAGCAAGGTCTCAATATACAAGATCAGTATAAAATTCCAATTATATTTCTATGTACTACTAGTATACAATCTGAAAATGAAATTATAATAGTATGATAAAGAATAAGCTGCTTAGAGATAGGTTTAACAAAGAAATGCAAGATTTCTACACTGAAAACTATGAATCATTACTAAGATAAATTAAAGATCTAAATAAATGTAAAGACATTCCACATTCAGATGTTGGAAAAAGCACTGTAGTTAAGACTACAGTTCTCTTCATATTGGTCTAAAGATTCAATGCAATCCCAATCAAATTCTCAGCAGACTTTTTTGTAGAAATTGACAAGCTGATTCTACACTTTATATAAAAAAACGAAGGAGCCACCATATAACCAAAACAATAATCTTAAAAAATAAAAAATTGGAGAACTTACACATTCTGATTTCAAAAGTTACTATAAAACGACTGTAATTGAACAGCATGAAACTCACATATGGAAAGACATAGAGATCAGTGTAGTATATACCACATTAATAGAATGAAGGGGAAAAAAAACCACATGATCATCTCAACTGATGCAGAAAAGGCAACTGACAAAATCCAACACCTTTCATCATAAAAAACTCAATAAACTAGGAGGAGAACTAGAAAGGAAATTTCTACAACTTGATAAAGGCCATATGAAAAACCCACAGCTAACTTCATACACAGTGGTGAAAGACCGAAAGCTTTTCCTCTAAGATCAGGAATAAGACAATGATGCCTGCGACCAGCACTTCTATACTTCTGTTCAATGTAGTATAGGGTCTTCTAGCCAGAGCAATTAGACAAAGAAAAAAAAATCTAAATTGGAAAGGAAGTACTAAAATCATCTCTGTTTGCAGATGACGTGATCTTATCTGTTGAAACCCTTTAAAAATTACACACACACACACACACTCACAAAAAGCTCTGAGAACTAATAAAATGAATTCAGCAAATTTACAGGATATAAAATCAACCCACCAAAATGAGTTACGTTTCTATACACTAACAATGAACAATATGAAAAGTAAATTAAGAAAACAATTCCATTTACAATAGGATTAAAAAGAATAAAATACTTGGGAATAAATCTAACCAGGGAGACACTTGTACCTTGAAAACTACAAAGCACTGCTGAAAGAAATTAAAGAAAACCTAAATGGGAAGATATCGCATGTTCATTTAAGGCTTAATATTGTTAAGATGACAGTACTACCAAAAACAATCTACAGGCGGCTTCCCTGGTGGCACAGTGGTTAAGAATCCGCCTGCCAATGCAGGGGACACGGGTTCGAGCCCTGGTCTGGGAAGATCCCATGTTCCGCGGAGCAAGTAAGCCCGTGAGCCACAACTACTGAGCCTGCGCTCTAGAGCCTGTGAGCCACAACTACTGAAGCCTGTGCGTCTAGAGCCCATGCTCTGCAACAAGAAAAGCTACCGAAATGAGAAGCCCGCGCACCGCAACCAAGAGTAGCCCCCGCTCACCACAACTAGAGAAAGCCTGAGCGCAGCAATGAAGACCCAACACAGCCAAAAATAAATAACATAGATAAATTTATATTAAAAAAAACCCTACAGATTCAGTGCAGTCCTTATCAAAATACCAACAGCATTTTTTGCAGAAATAGAAAAACCCAGACTAAAATTTATATGGAATCTCAAGGGATCCCGAGTAGCCAAAACAATCTTGAAAAAGAAAAAAAAAAATAGCTTGAGCGCTCATACTTCCTGATTTCAAAACTTAGTATAAAGTTAGAGTAATCAAAACAGTATGTATAGGTATAAGGACAGATATATAGACCAATGGAGTAGAATAGAGAGCCTAGAAATAAACCCTCACATATGCAATAAATTGATTTTCAACGAGAGTGTCAAGACCACTTAGTGGGGGAAAGGAAAGTCTTTCAAACAGATTGTGCTGGGAAAACTGTATGTCCACATCCAAAAGCATGAAGTTGGACCCTTACACCATATACAAAAAAGGAACTCAAAATGGATCAGAGACCTAAATGTAAGAGCTAAAGCTATAAAATTTTAAAAAAACATAGAGGAAAATCATCATGATGTTGGATTTGGCAGTGATTCCTTGGAATTGATACCAAAAGCACAGGCAACAAAAATAATGCGTAAATTGGACTTCAACAAAATTAAAACCTTTTGTGTTTCAAAGAACACTTATCAACATAGTGAAAAGGCAACCCACAAGATGGGAGAAAATATCTGCGAATCATTTATCTGATAGATGACTGATGTCAAGAGTGTGTAAAGAACTTCTACAATTCAACAACAAAAAGAAACTGCAGAAGTCCTTTGCAGTTCACAGACAAGCAAAGGACTTGAATAGACATTTCTCCAAAGAAGATATACAGATGGCCAGTAAGCACATGAAACAGTGCTCAACATCATTAGTCATTAGAGAAATGCAAAGCAAAACCACAGTGAGATACCACTTCACACCCATTAGGATGGCTACTATCAAAAAAGAAGAAAGATAGGAAAGTGACAAGTGTTGGTGAGGGTGTGGAGAAGTCGGAGCCCTCCTGCCTTGCTGGTGGGAACGTAAAATGGGTCAGCCACTGCGGAAGAGTTTGGTGGTTCTTTAAAAAGTTACCATATGATCCAGAAATTCCATTCCTAAGTGTATATACAAAAGAATCAAAGCAAGGACTCAGCCACATCCTGGTATACCAATGTTCATAGCAGCATTATTCACAATAGCCAAAAGGTGGGAACAACCCATGTGTCCATAGACAGATACATGGATACAGAAAATGTGATATGTATGTATAATGGGATATTATTTGGCCATATAAAGAGATGAAGTTGTGATAAATGGTGCAACATAGATGAATATTGAAAACATTATGTTAGGTGAAGTGAGCCAGACACAAAAGGACAAATATTGGTGTGAGGTGTCTAGAATGGGCAAATTCATTTAGCCAGACAGAAATTGGAATTAAAGTTACGAGGAGCTGAGGGAGAAAGTAATGGGGAGTTACTGCTTAACGGTTCCAGAATTTACATTTTGAGTGATGAAAGAGTTTGGGAATAGATAGTAGTGATGGTTCCACAACATAGTGCCTTAGCGCCAACATGGGACTTAGTGCCACTCAGTTGTACCCTTAAAAAGTGTTAAAATGATATAATAATAATGTTGTAAGGCAATCATGTAAGGCAACTGTGACATGGTTTTTTACTTGAATTAAAGATTTTAGCTGTTAAAATTAATGCTCAAAGTAGGAGTTCATATAGGAACTAAAGGAGGTAGCTGTGCCCTCTCTTATCCTTGCACCCATGATTGTTTGTTTACAGGGTTAATGCCTCTGGGAAGTCAGGAATCTTCAGATAGTCTGGCAGCAGAGATCGTCACACCTGAAATCAGGTAAGGAGATGGTGAAGGTCACAGCCACACTGCACAATATTCTTGGAGAAAATGTACTCCTCTGTAATAGCGATAAAGAAAAGGAACTGAAGGAACTGGTCCTCTATATTACAGAGGAGTACATGTTAGCAATAAAGAAAAGGAACTGGTCCTTTATAAAACTTTCAACACGAACTTGAGGTTAGATGTCCATGATTTCAGCGTGTTAGGGGCTTTCTTCAGCTGTCCCCACAGAGACTTGATTTCTCTCTTTGGGAGGACAGCGTCTCACACATACTCAGTAAACTAATATATCTGTGCTTGGGCATCCTCAGCAGACATTTAGCAGTAAAACCACATGGCCCAAAGACAAAGGTTATGCTTAGCCACCAGCCTGCAAAATAATTAGTCTCGGGCTTCCCTGGTGGCGCAGTGGTTGAGAGTCCCCCTGCCGATGCAGGGGACACGGGTTCATGCCCCGGTCCGGGAGGATCCCACATGCTGCGGAGCGTCTGGGCCCGTGAGCCATGGCCGCTGAGCCTGTGCGTCCGGAGCCACAACAGTGAGAGGCCCGCGTACGGCAAAAAAAAAAAATTAGTCTCTAAGATTTATTACTCAAGTACAGGGAATGGTCTGGGAAAGACAACGCACAGACAGGAGGAAGCATCTCCTCATCTCTACAGTACTCTTCCCTCAGTAGTACCTTACATTTGTATTTAGTCATAGCATTTTAAATATTCCATTTATTTCAATATATGCCTGGCTTTATGTTTAAGAATGAAAAATTGATAGGGAGGCACCAGCTGTCCATCAGAAGGTGAATGAGTAATCCTGAATATTGCTTTTACCTTGTTCGGGCTAATTTGCCCACTTTTTAAATTGACACTAGCCTTGATTCTTCATAACATCCTTGGAGGTATTAACTAAAATAATGGTTGTGTAAAAGTTTTATAAACTGTGAAAGTTGCAATAGGCATTGAAATACTTATTGAATAAATGAAGACAAAGTTTTTTGTTGTTGGCATTTGTTTAAGAAGGACAGACAAAAGGTGTATAATGGAACACCAATTCTGGAAGCATCTTGTATACCTTTTACTTTTCTGCCATCTGACATGGTACTTTATTATTGGACCAATAAAGTTTGTTGAATGAATAAATACACTTATTTTTATGAATATTTATAAATAAATGGTTATGTCCAAAAAACAAATTTTAAGGAAGCTTATAGGTAATGCAGTTAGATTTTTAAGTTCTGAGACAAAAGAACAATGATAAAAATTCAACAAATAAAATGGCTTTTATTGAGTATTACTCAATACAAATTAAAATATTCTCTGTGGGGCTTCCCTGGTGGCACAGTGGTTGAGAGTCTGCCTGCCGATGCAGGGGACACGGGTTCGTGCCCCAGTCCGGGAAGATCCCACATGCCGTGGAGCGGCTGGGCCCATGAGCCATGGCCACTGAGCCTGCGCATCCAGAGCCTGTGCTCCGCAACGGGAGAGGCCACAACAATGAGAGGCCCGCGTACCGCAAAAAAAAAAAAAAATTCTCTGTGTCTAGAATATGTCTAGAAGAGCTATCAAGAAAATGAAATAGTACAAAGGATGAAATCTCTCAATGTATATCATAGACAGTGGGTCAGTATTCTTGATGCATAATGAAATTTGCTCTTCCAGTTTGCAAAAATCTGTTAAAAGTGATGATTTTCACTGATGTTAAGGGTGTGGAGAAATTGGAAACCTCATAAACTAGGAGTAAAAGATTAAAGTGATACAATCTTTTTCAAGTGAGATATAATTGACATATAACTGTGTAACAACTTTAGGTATACAACATAATGATTTGCTATGTGTGTATGTTGTGAAATGATTACCGTATTAAGCCTAGTTAATATACATCACCACACATAATTACCAAAAAATTTTTTTTCTTGTGGTTGTACAACTTTTCTTTTGAGCAGTTTGGCAGAATGTGTATGTTGTCTAAAAAATGTGCCTATCTTTTGACAGAAAAATTACTTGTCTGAGAATTAATTCTGAGGAAATACCCAAGGATATACACAAAAGGATATTTATAAAGCTAATCATTAATAACATGTTAAAGTTCAAAATTGGTAATAATCTAAATGCCCAATAATTGGGCATGAATTAAATAATGACCGTCTAGATACTTTAACATGTCATTTAAAATATTAAAGTATAAAATTTAATGCTATGAAAAGGTTGTGAGAAGTTAAGTGTAAATAGCAGATACCAGTGTGACAGGTACTGTGAGATTCATTTTTACAAGTGTTTGCATGTTTGTACGTATGCATAAAGTTAGAAGGCTGTATTTCAACAGTAATTATTTTGCACTGCAGGGTTATGGAGGGTTTGTATTTTCTTCTCATTTATCTTTTTTTCACCCTACAATGAGCTTGTTTTACTTTGTAATTGACAAATATGATGAAGTCATTTTTTTCAGTTTACAAAATATATCAAGTTCTATGTAACTGCTTGAGTTGGGTTACAGATTTGACTCTCATCTTTTCAATAGAAAAAGTTAAAGTACTTTATAAGGTTTACAGTGTTTACAAAATAAGAGCAGAATGGTTTTTTTGTGTTTGCTATTTCGCCTTTGTTTTTTCTTTTTCCATGAGAAGCACAGTTTTTCATAGCATCTGGTATGGATAGTAATATCTTCTTCATGCGGCCCTCTAGAGATGACCCTCTCTAACATAAAGGACGAATTCTATCTTCAAGACGTATATCTTCAATGATATCGTCATGTGAATTAATGTTCAATTATATCATCCCTGCAGTATTCACAGTGGCAATTTTTGTGTGGCTGTTGCTTTTAGCATCCCTCAGTGTAACCATTTGGCATCACGCAAAGAGCCCAAAACAATGCAGTCCAGTAACCTGGCTCTGATAATCTGTCTTGTTACAAGACTACAGGTTTACCGTATCTACAGGAATGGATGGGCTGCATGTCTTGAAGGCATTCTTCGTTGAATGTTACATCTTGCCACCAAATTATTGGTAATGTAAGAGCATAGCATTAGAGATGATGTTTTGTTGACGAGAACCAAAGAACAAATACCATAGGTGCATTCACAGCTTAAGTGCTTAAATCATTCACAGCTTAAATACTTAAATCAGAAAGGAAATAGGATTTTGAAACCTCATTCATTACAAGCCATGCTGTATGGGGATTCTGTTATCTTCAGATTGTCCATTCTAAAAAGAAAGTGCTTAAGACCTGAAATGTAATGTCTCAGCCAGTTACAACAGGAGCTAAATTTTTTCCAGGTACTTTGTTTTTCATTTCTGTTCTATGTATTAAATCTATAACAGTGCATAGCTGGATTTTGATAACTACGTTAATCCGTTTTTCTTCTGCTCTCAGGGAGAAACTTATTCGTCTTCAGCATGAGAATAAGATGTTAAAAATTAACCAAGAGGGTTCAGACAATGAAAAAATCGCCTTATTGCAGAGCCTTCTAGATGATGCCAGCCTACGCAAGAATGAACTGGAGACAGAGAACAGGTAGGAGGCACGTGGCAGCAGCTTAGACACCGGTTTTCTCTATTTACCTTGATTTTGATTCCCTTAAAGGTTTGAGTTGTGGTTTGAAAAGTGAAAGTGTGTTATTCCATTTCATTTCAAGAGTACTTTTTTCCACTTTCCCACTTACAGGCAAATTTGCCCAAAAGTATAGTCTCTCTGTAATAGCATTCCCGTCTTTAGCTCTTCTCTTCTGGCAAAATGATACCAAAGTCCTACCATTTTCCCTTTTTAATCACTAATTAAAACTAGAGGATTAAAAAAAGTCACGATTTATTCACAGTCTTTCGAGACAATTTTACTTCATAGTCATGCTTATATTAGTAGAGTTTACCCTGTTTTTACAAGCTAATGTTTCAAAGAATTGACTGGTATGAGGAAAACAGTAGGATCCATCATGATTCAATTGATAGGGCTTTTTTTTTTTTTAATCTGTTATTTCTTGTGACTCTGATAGGAAGTCACCCATTTTATGAACAATTCAATTATTTTGAGAATTTAGAATCTGCAAATTTAACAAAACATCACTTTTCTGCTTGTAAGCTTTAAGAGTATTGCAGTAGGCAGTTTGTCCAAACTACTTTTAAACCAGTAGCTTGCTCCGGCAAGGGCTACTTTTATATTTTATTGTGACAGTCCTCTCATTCTTTTCCTTTTTGGAAATGTTTCTTAAATACCAGACATATGATGTCTTTTCTTTTTCTTAGAGCTGTGATATTCTGTCATTTGTGAGGGATTTGACAATTTTATAAATAGTTTCACAGTTTATGTGATATTACAGATTCTTTGCTTATTCTGCCTGATTGATTTGGCATTTCCCAGGTGTGAGTCAGTCTTGAGAGTCAAAATTGTTACGATAGTTTTACATATCCTACCCTTCTTCCTGTAACTTTAATTTTTAAAGCTGCTGAGGGAGAATCAGCAAACTGTAAATACCAGGGTGATTATTAGAGCATAATTAAGCATAAACGTAAGGAGACATTTTTATATCATTTCTTAGGAGCATAGATAATGAATACTTTTTTAAAATACTTAGAAAAAGTGGAAAAAGAGAAGGAGGAGGAATGGGAATTGTAGAAAACAGCAGGCAGTCATGCAGAGCCCATGGTGAGGGCACCTTGAGTTACCCCCTTCATCCTTGGCCTCCACTGTCTTTTAGCATCTTAGCGGGGAGAGCCTTCTCCCAACACTAATTTCTTATCAGTGAATCAACACCTACAACGTTTTCTGTAACACTTTGCCTTGTTTGTCACAGACCTTACAGCTATTACTCTTTCTCCTTCAAGATAGAACAGCTAGCTGTCATTCGTAGAGGACTCGTGCATGTAGATGACTGGTTACCTCCTAAATCCCTGTTATTCACAGCTGTGTTTGTTTATTAAATTACAACACTGATGATAACTTACCTTTAGATTATAGCCATCTGTGGGTATTATGATCTGTAACAGTAATACTAGTAATACGAGCAGCTAACATTTATTAAACTGCTGCTCCAAACATGTTGCAGTGTTGTTCCAAACATTGTGCTAAGTGTTTTAAACATGTGGTCTTACTTTATTAAGGTTTTACACATGTAGGAATTTGGGCTGAGACCCAGGCTACCAGACTCCAAAGCCTCTACTTAACCTCTTTCTTGCCAGTTTATCTTCTGCCACATTTATAAAACGTTTTTTTCCCTGTCTTCTCCTCACAGGGTGCTTTACTCTTAAGTGAGTTATCGTAAGTTTGTTCTTACTGAGCTTAGTAAGTGTTTACATTACCTGGTCTGTACCTTAACCTCTTACTCTTTGACAGCACTGGGTTAGCACCAAGAAAGCAGAGTTTCAGTTCTACTTAGTCTCATAACTGTACGACCTTAAATACTATTTGCTCACCACCATATGTCACCTTAGAAGGAGAGGTTTGTAGTAAACCTCCAAAGTCCTTTCCAGTTAGCTTTCCCAACAAGTTGGTATTTGTTAAAATCTGTAACACCTGTTGACCCTCAAGCAATGTAAGGAGAGGCATGAAGGGTCGAGAGTGGAGCCGTACTGGAACGGCTTGGGGAGCTCTCTGGAAGCACGTGTGATCTCCTTCCCTTCCCTCTCAGAGTAGGTTGTGATCTCAAGCTCACCCTCTCCCTACACCCCCTTGACAACTATATGTAATTAGACTTGGATTAAAATGTTGATTAACTAAACCCTTGAAGGGGGAGAAAGAAAGTAGAGGCATTTATAGAGTACCTGCTATGTGCACACCCTATATATATTATCTTACGTAGTTTTCTAAACAACCCCATGAGGTCAACATTATAATCCTCATTTATTTTGTAGTTGAAATTTTTTCGTATATATTTACATATATTTTTATAGGTTCATACATGTGTGTGTACATGTATGCTCCATGCTTTAATCGATATGTTAGACTATGTTTTATGACATTTATGATGGCCTCCACCTAGTAACAATATTTTTTGACTGATTAATTTCAAAAATGTCTAAGATGGATAGTTGAAATAGCCTTATAGTTTGATATATTTTTCATATTGCTTCCTGAGAAGATTAAACAAAGTTACAGTTAGCAACGTACTTATGTACCTCTGTTCCATATTGAATATGAGTTTTCAGATAATTGTTTCACTGAGTGAAAAAACAGATTCCTTTGTGTGAAAAACATCAGTTATTATTATAGATTTATTGCCTTTTTACTGTGATTCTCACTAAATTATAGAACCTAGAGGTTTACAGTAAGAATTTCTTGTCACTTGTTGAGTAAAAAAAATTTCTTACTGAACTTCTTGGCTATTTGGATTCTAAATATTCATTGCCCTGTTTTGTCCTTAATTGGGAGCAATCTGGCTTTTACTCAAGTACTTACTAGCCAGTCCAGTGGGAGCAGTTAGGACTTTATCTCTCCTCGCCTCTTTACTGTTTTCATTGTGGATCGTTTCCCCTTCCGCAGACTTGTTTTCAGTCTCAGGAACAGCCCTCGCTTGTGTCTCTCCCAGTCCTTGGGTTGCTGTCCAGGGCGAGGCTCCTCTTTCAGCCCTTTGCTTGGTGGTCTGCCGTGGCCCCTCTTGTTCCTCCTCCGAGCTGGTTCACGTTCTTTCTGGCCACTGTTACTCATGCTCCTGGCTTCAGTCATTGCCGAACGGCTCTTGGGTCTGGAGGGTCGGCTTAGCCCTCCCGCTGGGCTTCAGGTGCAGGTGTCCAGCTGTTCGACAGGCATCTCTCATCACTTCATTTTCGACAAATACCAAATGAAGTCCTTTGTGCTTCTTTCTCAGCCTGCCCCTCCTGTATTCCCTTTCTCAGTAAATGGTCCTTGGTAGCTCAGACCGGACTCCTAAGTTACTTTTTGCTCCTTGTATTCCTTTGCATTTTCCATGCACCCCGCCTCTGCCCCCTTCTGTTTTAGGGGGAGGCGTGATCACTGTGCCGGCCCCGGTGGGGCTTCCCAGACGGTCTCCTCCACTTTCACACCAGCGTGATCTTTCTGAAACACTGTCTGATCCTTCCACATCGTCCAAGACCTACTGGCCCCCTGAATGTTGCATCCTAATGATCTAGAGAATTTATGGGGATTGAGCTCCAGAATCAGCATTTTTAAAGGCTGGCTGGGCTATTCCCATCCCAACAAAATTTTAGGCCCGATTATAGGATAAATAAAAATACATTTGCATTTCTCAGAGGGGTGTCCCAGCCTCTCCTTTTCTCCTCTGGTTTCATCTCCAGCCTTCCTTCGCCTCATAACTTGGTCTTCAGCCTTACAGTTCCTGAACTCTCCGTACCCGCTCCCTTTCTGTGTGCTTTGGACATGCTGAATTCTCGGTCTTGAATCCCCTTTCCACCCTTAACCACATAAGCGTTTTATTTACTGTCTGATCTCCATTCAAGTGAAGCCCAATTCCTCCACGCAGTTAGGTGCAGTCCTAGCTTCTCTGAGCAGCCGTCACTCCTGTGTGTACCTCTGTGTGCTGTGTTGAAGTATTTAGCTCGTATTTTATTTCTTTACATTTTGTCTCCCCACTAAATTCGAGTGCAAGGGTCTGCTAGCACTATGCTGAGTGTGGTGCCTGACACTCAGTTTGAACAAACGTATAGTGAAGTGAATTTCAGATAAATATATATGTATAAACATACCAGCTCAACAAAATGTGTCCACCAAAACACTGCATTGGATATCATCATAGACATTTTAAGCAATACAAAAAACAACCAGAAAAGTGAGCTACTACGACTATAACATGAGACTTTGTTTTTCTCATTATACTGTTTCTCTAACCAATGTGAAAACCTAAGGCAAAAGGCATAAGTTTAGTCAGAACTTGGAAAATTAATGTACCTTTGATTTCTAGGCTGGTGAATCAAAGACTCCTAGAAGTACAGTCACAAGTCGAAGAATTGCAAAAATCTTTACAGGATCAAGGCTCAAAGGCAGAAGATGTAAGTCTTAATATGTACCAGTGATGGTCCAACAGTTTCATAACGTTAAGAAAAGCTATAACTTTTATTTGATGGTCTATATCAAAATAATTGTAATTATAGTGGTTATAGAAAAGAAACAGTGTTTTCCTTTTACTAACATTCCTTATAAAAAGGACCAGACAGTACTTTATTGTCTCTTTCAGATTCATCCTGCTGGGGATTAGAAGTTCACTTGTAGTTATCAGCTGAAGAATTAATTGGGGTTTTATGTTTTACATGTGCTCACCTCAGTACTCAGAGTATAGGTTTTTCCCTCTGGTCAAAAAAAAAAAAAATGCTGATAGAAACTTAGCATGTTCAAGTAGCAATGTTTGTTGTAAAATTGATTTTAAGAAAATAATGCCGGGCTTCCCTGGTGGCGCAGTGGTTGAGAGTCCGCCTGCCTATGCAGGGGACACAGGTTCGTGCCCCAGTCCGGGAAGATCCCACATGCCGCGGAGCGGCTGGGCCTGTGAGCGATGGCCACTGAGCCTGCGCGTCCAGAGGCCCGTCTGCAACGGGTAAGGCCACAACAGTGAGAGGCCACAACAGTGAGAGGCCCGCGTACCGCAAAAAAAAAAAAAGAAAATAATGCCATTTCTAAAATGCTACCATCTCTAGGTTTATGAATCCCGCTTTCTCCCCCTGCCCCTCCCGCCACACAGATACACACACACACTCACACGCACATTGTCACACACACACACACTCCCCTGCCCCCGCTTGTGTGCACGCTCTCTCTCTCTCTCTCTCAAATATAAGCTCACTGCCCTATTTTAATATTCCCTTAGCACTCTGCCCCTCTGCCCTAGCCCTGCCTGCTTGGCGGGCACTCACCTAGAAAAGAGTAAGTGTGCCGAGGCGGGAACAGGGTCCTCCCCACCTCGCCATGCTCACCGCCCCACACAGTGAGCTGGGGCAGCTCATAGTAGTCAGGCTCTGATGCAGGCGTAAATCAATCATGTTTTGCAAATCCCTTACATTTAATGAGCTGTATACACTAGAGCTGCTCCTGTAAAAGGGCTCAAAACCAGTGTGAAGAGGGGATAACAACTGAAATTTAATCTTTGCTTCAGTCAGTTGATAACTTTTTTCCTTTTGCCAGAGTAACTCTGGCTTTTGAGTATAAACCTATTTGGTTGTTTTCATTGTTAGAGTCATTTGGGGCACTCAGCGTCAAAACTGTAGACACATCTAGTTCCGTCCAGCCTTAGTAACGTAAGAGGGTGTAAAAACAAAACAGCATATTACTTAAAACGTGAGAGTGTGAGGTATAAAAAGCTCACTGGTGACCTAATTTTATGAGTTTCTTATGCACCCATCAGGCTTATGTTGGCAGCGTGCTCTCTGAGATGATGGGCTGTAATTTATCCTCTGATGTGGTGGTAGTTCTTCTTAGATCCCCACATTGATTCCCAGTTCCTAAAATTTTCACCAACATTTAAACCACATCATCCCCTTATTAAAATGGAACTAGTTTCAAATACCATGGTTTACTTTCAAGCATGCCTTTATCCAGAATGCTAAATCACAAGCAAAACCACCATTCGTGTATGAAAATACTAGTAAAACTAAGAGGGTCTTAGCAGTGAACCAAAGCGGGTAACATTTCTTAGTTCAGTGAAATCACTAGGTCCCTTAAACTGAGGTAAATGTAGACTTCGTTTTGGTCTTGAAAACTTTGAGGAGACTTTCTGTTGATTTGTTATGGTAGAGAGGGGAAGGGTGTGCAGATCCTAGGAAGTAAAAATGGCGAAACGTCAGTATCCACTCAACCTTAGTGTTAGACTCTAATAACCATTATACTTGCTGTTCTTACTTATATTTAAACATAAAGAAAGGTATTTATTCTGTAAAACATTTTTTTACATAACCTGATTAGATACCACTGTGGCTATCAAATCTAATTAAATATGCTGTGTGTCATTGCTTTAAGAGGCCATATTTCAGAAATGAGTTCCCAGGCCTAAAAGTGCTATTTGCATAAATTAGTCAATTTATTTGACTGCTCAGATGCTGAGATTTGTTGCTCTAAATTCTTGAAAATTCTCTCAGAGCTGTTTTCTCTGTAAAGATTCAGATAGAAACTTGCCTCATTCTGAAGGCGGGCTCAGCATAATGTGGAGAAAAGTGTGATCCACGACGTGTGGTTCTTCCCACGGCAGGTGTTCAATGTTGTTGTCTCCTCTCTTTTCACCCAACCTACAGTGTTGCTTCTCAGGAATATGTAATGCACAGAGCAACCTGCCAAATGGAATTGATCCTCTCTAAAGAACAACGTAGTTTCTGCCCATTTCTGTTACCAAAAGCACAGTCCTTTCATATGACCTTAAGTCACAGTAGCGTGGTTTGCACATTTTTATTATTATTTTTATGTCATTTATTTTTAGCATGGAAGCAGAAAAGCATTGTTATATCCAGGCATATGGATAATTTGAGCTAGCCACAGTGTATAAAACTCCAGAGAACAAGACAGGATGAGGAGACCATAGAAGAAAGAAAAATGTACATTTTTGAAAAAAAATGCGTGTCTTTTACTTCTGTTCATGAATTACTAAATCGTTCCTTCTATTGGCTGCTGTGTTTGCTTCATACTAATATGTCCTCTCTGTCTCTTGGCATGGTTTCTGCTCAAGGCTATTGTAAGTATGGCTTCCTATTCATTTCTATATATTGAAGAGTGTTTTGATTTATACATTATCTGCCATCATAGTTGATGTGGTTGAAATTTTAAATTAACAGGAGTTTTATGCAAAAGGAATATACCAATATTACTTATAGGTTTATGCCCTTTACAATTAAGATACTTAAAGGATATCAAAAACCTAACCGGTCAGGCTAAAAGGAACTCTGCTCCTTTTTTTTCCCATCCCGCTCCTACCCCCATTGTTATAACTAGTTTTTTTTTATAAAGTATTTTGAAGCTAGCTTGCTGTCACAGCCTGGCCTCCTGATGCCACATTTTATGAGTAACAGTCTTCCACTGGAGAGGCTTCACTGGAGGTGAAGACTGTGCGTAGACTCCGGGGTCTGGCAGGCCTGGGTTTTAATTTGGGATCTGCCTCTGGAAAGCCCCTGAATGTCTCCCCAGCCTCACCTCCCTCAACCATGAGATGGGCCTGGTGTCACTGACGGTTGTGAGGTTGACATGAGACAGTGCACATGATAAACTTGAGTGAGTGCCTGGCATATTAACTGCTCATTACATAATCATTTTATTATATATTATCTCAGATTTAAAAATTAATTTTGCTTAGAGCCTAATCAAGACAGAAGTGCACAATTAAAGCTAAGGTGTTTTTTAAAGTATTTTCATTTTACCCTCTGTACTGGAGAAGGAACGAGCAGTAATCAAAATTCAGCAGGGTTGAGACTTCCCTGGTGGCACAGTGGTTGAGAGTCCACCTGCCAATGCAGGGGACACGGGTTCAAGCCCTGGTCCGGGAAGATCCCACAGGCCGCGGAGCAACTAAGCCCGTGCGCCACAGCTACTGAGCCTGCGCTCTAGAGCCCGCGAGCCACAACTACTGAAGCCCACACACCGAGAGCCCGTGCCCCGCAACAAGAGAAACCACCGCAGTGAGAAGCCCGCGTGCAGCAACGAAGACCCAATGCAGCCAAAAATAAATAAATAAAATAAATAAATTTATTAAAAAATAAAAAGTCAACAGGGTTATCATCTTTCTCTATGTTTGGGGGAAGCAGTGGTAGAGGACATTGTGGTCCACTAACCTAGCTGTAGTTGACATACTCAGCAAAAAAGTGCATTTGAATATTCCAGAGCTGTGTCAGAATGGGCTCGAATAAGCGATGACAGTAATCACTATCAAGTCAGGGGACTGAAAATGGAAGAGCCCGGTGTGACGGGTATGTTCCCCTCCGTGCTGCTCTTGACTGATTGGACAGTTTGTTTCCTAAGTCCGTATTATTTGAGTTTGGCTGAATTAATTATGTAACTGTTTATCTCAACGTGAACTGTTTCACAGAATTCATTAGTAATGTGTACCCTACAGGCGTTGAGTTTAATTATGAAACCTGGTGGTCCTGTATGGAATGCCGTTATTCTTTGTTTATTTTTGGTCAGCTCTGATCTCCTGTTTCTCAGGAGACTCTTTTTTTAAATACCCAGTCAAAGCTGCATCCTCCAGCATATTAAATGCTGTGCATATCCCATCTTTAACGTTCCTATCCTGTCACATAAACTAGTTGCAACCTGTGCATATCAGAAACTTCTGATTAATTCAGTAAGTGTTTACAGAAGTTGATCCCATGATGCAAGGAAAATATAGCAGATAAAAAGTGTCTTAGGGACAGTCTATTATTATTAGAGTTCTACTTGCCTATTGCATCCAGGAATATTAGGTCTGTACGTAAGTGGCTTTTTTATTCATTTCCCTGACTATAAATAGAGAATTCAGACATACAGTTTATGGGTATTTTATACTGATCGTTTTTATCACTTATAGGCTGCTGTCTCCCTTATCAAAGAGAAGTAAACTTGGGTACATTGTGTATTTTCAGTTCTTTGACCAGAGAACTTACTGAGGGCTCACTCAGTTATTTACTACTGTATTCTTAATTTTTTTTAATTAGTTTATTAGTTAAAATGTTAAGTAATAAATTATTTTTTTATTTTCCATTTTCAGTCAGTTCTTCTAAAAAAGAAGCTTGAAGAACATCTGTAAGTATAAAAGCTATTGAGGCTCATTGTTACATTGTCCAGTGAAACATCAGTGTTTTGTGTTGGGGTTACAGAGTATCTAGGCAGTGGCATGGGTGGCCCTGAAGGTATAGAAGATTATAAGGGACATTAATAGTATCTAAAGGGTCATCATCACCCCAGGTCCTCAAATCAAAACAATTACTGTGTTAGAACTGTTTTCTCAAGTGAGATTCCAGGGTTTTATATCTTCACGATAGTATTTAATGATCCCAGTTAGGAGTGTGGGACCCTCTGGATCAGCAGTCAGAAATGTTTTCTATAAGGAACAGAGAATAGTTGCTTTCGGCTTTGCAGACAGTGGTCTGTGTCACAACCACTTAGCTCTGAGGTTCGAGAGCGGCCACAGGCAGTATGTAAACCAGAGCTGTGACTGTCCCAACCAAGCTTTCTATGCAGGAACGGGCCACGGGCTGAATTTTCCAGCTCTAGAGTCTGGCCAGCTGAAGCTTCCTTTTTATGTAAATGTTTTAAAGTATTATTAAGCTTATCAGTAGCAGATTTTCAAACATTTCCTTGAATTGCAAACATACCTGAACATGACTTTTTGATCTAAAAGATTAAATTTTTAAATATTACAGTTGTTTTCTCATGAAGAAGAAACCTTCTTCCATATCTGAGGTTGACAATGTTAGGAGTGTTTTGTAATTTTTCTTGCACCCAGTAACTGCTGTAACCCTTCCTATCACTTTCTGGCAAAACTCTGTCCTTGCAGACATTGAGTGTGGGTGCCCATGGATTGCCAGCCTGGTGGAGCGTTACAGGGTTAGACTGTGGTAAACAGACATCCTGGGTACCATAGTGGCTACTGGGAAGAATTCTGTAGTCCGGCAGTTTGCTGTGTGCTATCCTGATTTCTTTCTTTCTCTTTCCTCCTTCCTTCCTTTCTTTCTTTCTTTCCTTTCTTATATGGGAAAGTGAGACGCTCCTAGGGCCAGTCTATCACTGGGCAGGTTCTTAAAATACTAGAACAGCACCTGTCACCTTCCAGCCACTGTGAGGTTACCTGCAGTGAGAATTTAGTGTTGAATTCTGTCCTTTTTTCATTTCCCATCCCTTAATTGCAGAAAATAGAATACCTGTGGTTTCATAAAACTACTGTCTGACCGTTGTTCTGTGTTCATTTACATGGTAAAAATCTTCATCAAAAAGAATTTATTAGTGAAGATGAGGCCTGTATTAGTTTCCTGTGGTTGCCATAACAAATTACCGCAAACTGCAAGGCTAAAAACAACAGAAATTTATTCTCTAACAGTTCTTGAGGCTAGAAGTCTGAAATCAGGGTATCAGCAGGATTGGTTCTTTCTAGAAGTTCTAATGGAGAATCTGTTCCATGTACCCCTCTACTAGCTTCTGGTGGCTGCCAGCAACCCTTGGTGTTCCTTGGTGTATAGATGCAACCTCTCTCTCCATCTTCACATGGCCTTCTTATAAGGACACCAGTAATTGGATTAGGGCCCACCCTGATCCAGTATGACCTCATCTTAACTAAGTACATCTGCAAAGACCCTATTTCCAGATAGTGTCACATTCACAGGTTCTGGGATTTAGGACCTCACCATATCTTTTTCAGAGACACAGTTCAGCCTGCCACAGAGCCCACAGACATCTCAAAAGATGAATGACCGTGCAGATTTAACACTACAACAAGACTATTTTACACACAACAAATTGGTAAAATTTAAGAATCAGACATACCAAGTATTGCCAGAGATGTTGAGTGCTGGTAACTGTCATCCACTGCTGGTAGGGATATACATCAGTTTATTCAGTAAACTGCAACATGCATATATTCTGTGACCCATTGATTCTACGTTTCTATGTATACCCTAGATTCCTAGAGATGCTGTGGTCCATGTTTACCAGGAGACATTTAGAAGAAAGTGTGAGAGAACATTGGGGTTTTGGGGGTTTTTTTTGGTCAGTTTCAAACATTTATTTTTAAAAAGTGACTCTAAGGTGGTTTATTTAGTTATTATTCATTTCCCTCTGATGACTTTTTGTTGTTGTTGTAGGCGGTGGTTGTGTGCATTGTAGGATATTCAGCAGTGTCTCTTTCCTCTCCCCACTAGAAGCCAGTAACACCCTCCTAAGTTGTGACAATCAAAATTATCTCTAGACAGCCCCAAGAGGGCAAAATTGTCCCCAGTTGAAAAGCTCTATACTTCGAGGTCCCTACCAAATGTCTCAGTTTCAGTGAGAGCACAACTCTGACTAGTTGGAACTCTAATGTGTGGACTTTCGGGACTTTTCCCCTCTCAGCGCCCCAGTAATTTTTCATTCTTCTGTAGTTGTCCCTTGACACACCTCATGGTGTCCATTCCTAGAAACGTGCAATTTAGTATTAATCCAAACACTTAAGCGCACCCATATGCCAATTTATGGTGATCTTTTCTTACATAGCTCTTTCATCTCTTACTCTGTGCTCCAAAAATTCTAGCCGCATCTGCCTCCCCACGTTCTAATCTCTTTGTCCTCAGCTCAGGGGGATGGGCACACCCTTCCTGTGATCTCCTCCTGACTGCAGACAGAAAGCCAGAGAGATCATAGGGGTTCCCACTGGGGTTCCCACTCTTGTTTTCTTTCTCTGAGAATCAGAATCTTGTACTGCCTACTGTCCACTTTCTGAAACAGTTGTTTTACATAGTTTGCCCAGCTTCCTACTTGTTATTAGCAGGAGAGCAAGTCCAGTAACAGTTATCCATCCCTTCATGGCCAGAAGTAGAAACAACATAGGAGCTCAAGAACACTGGGTAATGTCTGGACACACTTCTCTCCTCACAAGTTGTGTGTTTAACAAGATAGAACATTGTTTTTAATCACAGAAAAGCAGAAACAATACAAATATCACCAACTGTAGAATGATAAATAGATTGAGATATATTCAAACAATAGAACACTGTACAGCAATAAAAAGGTATAAACCAGGGCTAACACATGAACATAAATGAATCTCAAGAACAGAGTGTTAGGTAAAAAATGGAGGTCACAGAACAGTACATACAGTATAATTAATGTGTAAAGCAAAAATAGGGCAAAATTAAGCAATGTAGTGTTCAGGAATATACACAGAGGCCCATCACAAAAATCATGAGAATGGTTAAAATTCTTGATTTTGGTTACCACTGGGAAAGAGATAGGAACACATGGGATTTTTAAGGTTCTGGGATAATTTCTTAACCTTTTTCTTCACTGGGCTTCGTTTTTCTTATTTAAACTGTATATATTTATTTTGTGTAACATATGTCTGCGTGTGTGTGTGTGTGTGTATACCCTCAACAAAGATTTATTAAAGTATTATGCATAGAAAAGACCAGAAATAGACATAACAACGTACTCTATTTTTTTCTTCGTGTTTTCCTGTATCTTTCAATTTTTGCAGCCTTTTTTCTCTCTCATATTACAGAGTGCTGCACTAAATAGTATAGAGAATTACACATTATGTAAATACTAGGGAAAAACTTCTGTTCATTCATCCTTTTACTTTTATATTGGAATATACCTTACAATAAAGTATACAAATCCTGAGTTCCTAGGTCTACAGCTTGATGAATGTTTTCCTGCATAGACAGGTAGCCCAGATCAATATATAGCATGTTTCCAGCAACACCCCAGGATTCTTTATTCTCTCTTTTAATTAATTGATTACATCCCCAGACTAGCCACTGCTGATCTCTTATCACCCTTTGTTAGTTTTGCCACTTTCTGAACTTCATATAAAAAAAATCATATAGTATTATCCTTTTGTGTCTGACTTTATTCAACATTATTCTATGATATCTCTCCACATGGGTGCATGTACCATTAATTTATTCTTTTTTATTGGCGTGTACTGTTCTTTCTATTCTTATTTTAGGAGCTTCAGTTTTTTTGCAACAAGAGTTTTGCATTATAAAACCTCAGCAAAGTTTTAAATTTAATTTTTACAATATCCTTATTCCTAGAAACAATAAAGATCACTAAGTTATTTCTAACCTCTTGTGCAGGTTTATATAAAAGAATGACTACTATTTCAAACTCTGAGATTTTTGTCTCTATTTTTTAGTCATTTAGAAAATATGTTTATGTTGGATTAGTCTTTTCATCTTTGTTTCATAGCACTTGTGTGCTATGCTAGTGTATCCCATAAAGAAAGAATTTATATCTTTCATTTCAAGTGAAAAAATGCAAAACAGTGGTAGGTAAGAGTGTTAACATCTTTTGTTACAGAGAGAAGCTGCATGAGGCCAATAATGAGCTGCAGAAGAAGAGAGCCATCATCGAGGACCTTGAGCCGAGATTTAACAACAGCTGTGAGTTTTCCCAATTAGCGTAGTTTTCAGTCGGTTAGCGCTAGTGATGAGTTTAAATTAAATTTGTTTTTTTTTTTAGAAATAGGCCCTATTATATTTTCTAGCAATTAAGGAATTTGCCCTGTTCACAGAAAGAGTATACACACACACACACACACACACATAATCATCTTTACAGTATTTCTTAAATTTCTAATTTAGTTGTGAGTTTTTCCTTAACTATGGATGCTAATGCATATTTTATGAAATTTTTTCACAGTGTCATTAAGTCAGCCTGACTTTTCCTTTGGTTGATATTTACACCCGTTTGTAGCTTGACTTAATTAATTCTTCTCTGTGGATGTGGGAGCAGGACACAGACTTTTACTTTTTTAGTATTGTGGTGAAATATACATAATATAAAAATAACCATTTTAACCATTTTTAAGTATTGGGTTGGCCAAAAAGTTCGTTCGGGTTTTTCCGTGAGTTGGGATGAAAATCCCGAACAAATTTTTTGGCCAGTCCATTGTATATAGTTCAGTGACATGTTAAGTACATTCACACTGTTGTACAGCCACTGTCCATCTCCTGAACGTTTTCATCTTCCCAAACTGAAACTCTCTACCTGTTAACCACTCCCCTCCTCCCCTCTTCCCAGCCCCTGGTAGCCTCTGTTCTGCTTTCTGTCCCTATGCACTTGACTCTTCTAGGTAATTCATATAAGTGGAATCCTACAATATTTGTCCTTTTGTGTCCGGCTTCTTTCACTTCACATAATAGCTTTCATTTTCACTTAGTATAATGTCTCCATATTGTAGCGTGTATCAGAATGGAGGCTGAATAATCAACTATTTGTGTAAATAGACCACATTTTGTTTATCCCTTCAGCCATCCATGAATACTTCTTAATTTGTGCACTTCCATAGTGTAGTTTTTGTTTATTTCTAAGAAAAGCTTTTTGTTTAAAAAAATTGTGAATTTAAAAAAATAAAATTATATATAAGTATAGACAAAACAGTCTCTCGAAGCTGTTTACTATTTTGTCAGTTGAAATATTTTCAAGTTGTTAGGTCTAAAAATTTTTTAATTTTTTACTGTCTCACCGATAGCCTTAAAAATTGAAGAATTACAAGAAGCTTTACGGAAGAAAGAAGAGGAAATGAAGCAAATGGAAGAAAGATATAAAAAATACTTAGAGAAAGCCAAAAGTGTAAGTGTGAGTCTGTGGTGGGCCTCTCACTGCACTTTCTCATTGTGTTTCGCTGATGTTTCAAAATACAGTGCCTGAACGGTGACCCCTCACACAGAAGGACACGAGGAGTCTTTCGACAAAAAGAGCAAGAGGCCGTGATCAAAACAGGTCGCCCCAGCCCCAGGTTACTTACTCGTTACCAAGAGGGAATCACCTTTCTATGTAGGAAATGAGTGGCAGCCCCACCTTGCCTAATTATCAAAATCGGCTGTGCCCGGCGGGAGGGCCCGCCTCTGTCTCCAGATGAGCCTTGCTGTCGGCAGTGCTCAGGGCTTCTGGCCTAGCTCCAGTTCCCAGGGAAAAGGAGGTTACTGGAGCAAGTTAAGTAACACCTTCAGGAAGGCATCAGATAAATCCAGACTTTGGGATGAGAATCCACATTATGAAAGCAGAAACAGGCACTGGAGCATCATGGAACACCAGAAGCTGTTCTCCTGTAAAGGAGCCCAAAGGGACCTCCCTGCCAAATGCAGCGATCCTGGATTGGGGACACCTGTGGAAATGTGGATTTGGGCTGAATCGTGATGACTTACAGAGAGGTTCACTTTCTTACAGATGTTGTGGGAGGATGTCCTTAGTCTAAGGAGATGCGTGTTGAAGTGCTTGAGGGTCACGTGACATGAGACAAAGGTGGCAGTGCTGCAGTTGGTCAATCCGGGTTAAAGGAGATGGGTTTTTATTGTTCTGCTCTTTCAAGTTTTCTATGGAGTTGATCATTTTTGATAGTAAAACTGCTGAGCCAAAAAGCAAAGACCCTTCCCAGAAGCCCTCTGGTGGGCCAGCTAGAATTGTGTCACCAGGCTGTGTGTAAACCCAGCGTCTGGCAAAGGAGAAGGACCACAGAGACAGGCTTGTGGACCACTGGGACCCGCTCCATCCTCACACATCTGGTCAGAGGCAGAGGCCCCTGAACCAAGTCAGAGGAACGGAAAAGGGAAGCTTGCTGTCAGTAGTGTCTGCTGTAGGGTGATTAATTTCAAGCCAGAATTACTTCTTATCACTGACTCTTTTACATAATTTTAAATTTTTATATAATTAAAAATTGTAACAACTGGATATCATTTTATACATTCAGATTTTAAAGTGTTCACGTAAGATAACTTTTGAGTCTCATAAGGTTTATCTTTTTTTTTAATGACTGCTTCCTTAGATATTACACTCCTTGGGTTTGAGACTTTTAAAGTTTTTCTTTTATTACTTTTTGCAGGTTATCCGTACTTTAGATCCTAAACAAAATCAAGGAGCAGCACCAGAAATACAAGCTCTTAAAAATCAGCTCCACGAACGGGATCGGCAATTCCATTCATTGGAGGTAGTTTACTGTAATATGATAAGACATTTGATTTTTTTAATTTTCGATTCTAGAAGCCTTGCTATGCACAGTGGTCCCTCAACATCCACGAGTCACAGTTACCAAAATCCATGGATGCGCAAGTCCCTCGTAGAAAGTAGTGAATGTGGTTATTTGCATAAAATCTAAGCCCATCATCCATGTGCTTTAAACCATCTCTAGATTACTTATAATACCTAATGCAATGTAAATGCTATGTAAATAGTTGCCTATGGGGACTTCCCTGGTGGCGCAGTGGTTAAGAATCCGCCTGCCAATTCAGGGGACATGGGTTCGAGCCCTGGTCCGGGAAGATTCCCACATGCTGCAGAGCAACTAAGCCTGTGCACCACAACTACTGAACCTGCGCTCTAGAGCCCGCACGCCTAGAGCCCGTGCTCCACAACAAGAGAAGCCACCGCAATGAGAAGCCAACGCTCCGCAATGAAGAGTAGCCCCGGCTCACCGCAACTAAAGAAAGCCCACGCATAGCAACGAAAACCCAACGCAGCCAAAAATAATTAATTTTAAAAAAAGATATCCATACTTTAAAAAAAAACAGTTGCCTATGCGTGGCAAATTCAAGTTTTGGTTTTTGGAACTTTCTGGTTGTTTTGTTTGTTTGTTTGGTTGGTTTTTTTTTACCATTTTCGATCTGGGGTTGGTTGAATCCGTGGATGTGGAACCCATGGATATAGAGAGCTGACTGTAGAGTTGTGCCCGTGAACTTAGTTTATTGTGAGTATTTTATTTATGTTGAATTGTTTTTCATCTTAACATGCTTACATGTGCTTGCTTTTTAGAAAGAATATGAGAAAACAAAGAGTCAAAGAGAGATGGAGGAGAAATATATTGTTAGTGCCTGGTACAATATGGTAAGAAAATAACACGTCAAAACATATTACAAAATTCAGTGAATATGTATCATTTATTATACTCCCTTTACTGTAGAATTAATTCTACCAAATGAATGAAAGTAATTACTGTCCTAACACACACTAACAAAACCCTAATGCTGATCTTAGGGCCAAACAACAGACACAGGAACCACCGTAAACGGGACTAGAACATTGTGGACACATCATTATCCCTGTCCTAGAGGATAGAAAGATTTCTGTCTCTCAGGACCATTTTATTCTCGGGTGGTAGGGACTTTAATAATATCTAAACACAGATACAGTAGCTTTTGTTTTGTGGTACTATTTCAGTGCCTTTGCAGGAGCGGTACTTGTAATGAAAATAGTTTAACTGTCTCTCAGGTTTTGGTAAATGTTCACAGTCTTAGACCCTGAACAGCTGAAGGTTTTGAAATTGAATTTTACAACAAAAAATCTTAAACGTATTGCAGGGGAAAATAAATGCTTATCAGCATTTTGGGCTTCAGTAAGACTTTTCTGGATATGGAGAGCTATGGATTTTGAAGAATGCTGTACTTTTTCAATATTTTTTTTCTTAGACCTTTTCTTCTTTTTCTGCTTTGTTCTTCTTCCCAATAAGACCACTCCGCCTTTTCAAAGCGTTAGCTGCCTGAGATAGGAAGTTGGACCAGATTCCTTTCATCATACCCCTCTGACCCTGTAGTTGTGTTACTGGAACAGTACCGTTTTACAATTACAATTGTAAATTATACCACTTTACCGTTATAATTGATACTGTGTCTGAAGGGTTCATGTCCCAGGTCTCCTAATAATGTGATTTGAACTTTGTCAAAATTTCATACAGTTTTATGACATGTCCACATTTATATTTGCCTTGGTACTACATATTTAAGATTTTTATCACAATTTTAAAAAACAAAAAAGGAAATCATACTGGGTTTACATTACCATTACTGTTAACAAATATAGATTAATTGAAAATTAAAATGTAAAAAATAAGAAAAACCTGTGTTTAAGGAAGGTCTCTGGGAACTAGTCCTGACTTCACCCACATTGTTTTCTCTTCGTCCTCCTTCAAGGTTAATGTTAGCAATCTGGGAGCTCTGCCCCTCAGTCCGTGTGAGTGATTTCATATACCTGATTGATTTTTATGGCTTCACATATTGTGTTTCGTATGGAACAAAACTGATTTATTCTGTGACATGGTATTAAAGAAGAATCTTAGTTTTCAGCTCTGCGGAGAGTGAAGGGATAACTCCCAGTAGGATCACACAAGTTATGTTCAGATAGGGTAACCGGTAACAGCTTCATACATACATTCAGAAAGTTCTGCATCCCAGACAACCGAACTGGAAGTGAGGATGGTGAGTGCTGGGAAAAGGTATTAAGTATCTCAGGGAATGGCCTCATGATGGATACTGAGATCTTGAAGGGGAGTCTAGAATTTGAATAAGTTGTTTAGAATGTGAAAGTTAAAAAGGTATATTTTAAATAAAATATAATTGTTAATTTATGTAGCCAAATTAACAGATATTGCCAATAGATATTTGTCCATTTTATTCAGATCCTTAAATGCTTTAATTCCAAACTGAGTAAAAAGCACATCCTGGGTTTTCTCATGGGGAGAGTGGAGAATGTTGTGCATTGGGGTCTGTTTGAAACGCAGAGCCATGACCCCAGTTTCCCTGGAGGTGACGGGAGCTGGGAGGTTTGTCTTGCCTTCTGCCTTCTGTGCGGGTTTGCCCAGCGCCTCTGGCGCCTGCCCCGCCTCCCTCCCGGCTCTGTTTCTCCTCCTTCCCTGTTGCCGGCGTCCGCTTCCTCCCGTCATCTCGCTTCCAGTCACCGGTGAGACAAAGCTGCCGCTCCCAGTTCTTCCTGCTTCTCTGGCCAGGGTTCTTCGCCAGCTTATTAAATGAGAACCGAAACCCTTTTTTCCGGATCTACTCGGGGTCCTCACTGTTTACTCCTCCGCGTTTAGAGAGCGCCGCAGGTTCTCCCTCCCGTTCAGGTGCCCTGGGCCCGGCAGGTGGGCTCGTCCCCCTTCTAAGCGGGTAGGCCTCCTTCTCCAGTCCTCGGGAAGGACCCCTGCGCTCCTTGGGCCCGCTGTGTGGGCCAGCCGTCAGGAACTTCCCTTAACAAGTGTGCCTGTGAAGAAAAGCAGCGTGGTGGTATGTATTATACCTGGTGTGACTTTCCACCCTAAGAAAGAACAAGTGCTTTTGTGGTTTTCTATTCTAACTAAACCCTCTGATTTCCATATCCCCATGTGAATCAACTGCTACCAATCAATTGCCCTTTTTTTTCTTGGAAAATCACTTTATGCATTTGATTCCAAAGGGAAGTATGTATGATTGAGTATGGATGATGCATTCCAAAGATCCATCTCTATTATAATCTATTGTTTGGGTTATTGTAAATTCAGAAAATTAAGCCTTAATTTTAACAAAAGATTTGTACCTAATTGTTGGAACTTAAATGTCTCTAAGATTTTAATCTATCATGAGCAGAGTTAACGTTCCTAATTGTGCCTTATGTCGTCAGGTAACAAATTCTGCGCGATGAAATTTTCTTTTGTGAGAGTGTGTTCCGTTATTTTTTCACTGATTACTTTTTTTCCGTGTTACGTAGGGAATGACTCTGCATAAAAAGGCGGCAGAAGACAGACTTGCTAGTACAGGTTCGGGGCAGTCATTCCTGGCGAGGCAGAGACAAGCCACCAGCACGAGAAGGTCTTACCCGGGCCACGTCCAGCCAGCCACAGCAAGGTAGACAAGTCCTGCCATTAGAATAAAAAACACCCCGCATTCAAAGCATACTTCTGTTACATATAACATTTCAGGAAATTCAGCCAGCTTATATTTTGTCTGTATTTCATGTATTTAGTTGTTTCTCATTTGAGGACTTTCTCTCTTCTGTATCTATAATGTTTTAGTTTCTTGGTCCTTTATTTTGTAGTCCTTTTGGTTCCTTTTAATGTGCCAAAAAATTTTTAAATGCCCAATTAAAAGTGTTGTATATTAGTGTAGTACTTTTCTTTGTATGAAAATGTCCTTTCCCCAATGGTGTAGGCTTTGTAATGAATTAGATTTTCTGCCAATAATTGATATACAATTTATATTCTTTATTGTGCCTCTGTGTTACCATGCTTTCTAAGAATGTCTTTGTTTAAAGGGAATTAATCTTTTTATGATGTATTAATCTGTGTTTTCAATTGTTTTCCAAATGCACTTCAAATAACTTGCATACTTACTATGTAAAATGGTTGGCAAGTGCACTTTTTGCAAAGACATAAATACATTGGCAGAGGTGCTAATCAGATCTTACCTAAGGCACCTGATAGAACTATTTAGAGGGAAAAACTGAGTTTTCACATTGTTTTATAGGAAATTAAATTTGTCCAAAGATTTGGAAACTATTTTTAAAACATAAATAGAATTTCATTATTTCCTACTATCTTATTTGCTGGCAGAAGTGAATGCACTGGTTAGGTTATTTGGGGAGAAATTACAGAAGAAAAAAAATCAGGAAGTGTGTTCATTTTTCTTCTTTTTTTGGAATATCACAGTAACTGAGGATCAGATTCTAGCAATGGGCTGACATTTCGTTGCAACTGCCCTCCACATATAAAAGTATATAAAAGATGTATTTTTTATATACTTACGAGTCATAGGTGGCCTTACCTTTGGGGTAATTTCCTTGTTGACTTGCACCTCATTTGTCTTACTTATTCCTTAACATAAAACCTGCTATTTCTCAATAATTCCTAATACTTAACATCTTAGTATCAGTCGTTAGGATCAATAAGTGACTTCTTGTGTCTGATGTTATGACAGGTGGCTGTCATATTTTTTCTTAATTCTATGTACTAGTCTAAGAGTTTGCTACTGAGTAGATTCTCTTGGGTATTTGGTTGCCCCAAAGTGCTTACATTTGTCGACAGATTATAAACTATGTTTATTTACATTGATGAATGGCTGTCAAGTAATAACGATTGTAAAGCACTTTGACTATATAAGGTGCTATATAAATGCAAAATGTCATTCATTTGAACATGAAATGTCTCTGCCTAACTTTCCGTATTGGCCCCAAATTATATTTCAGTTCCCCTCCAGCCTTTTTCTTGCACCATAGCCCATAGCCCAGTAAAGCAAAAATTTACTGAAACTAGGTCGATTATTTGTTTTCGGTTTTGGATAGGTCACCTATTAAGAAGATTTTATTTCATATACTTGCTATTTAGAAGTTCAGGTTTCATTTAGTTTTGTGTATTAAATACAAATGAGTAACTTTAAATCAAGCTAAACATAATCAAGAATTTTCAGAAACTATATTCCAGTGTTTGATTTTAAATCCTTATTTCCTTTTTTTTTTTATAAGAAATTGACCTAAAGACTATTTTAGGTGTTTTCATTTGTCCTCAGAAACTGTACTTGAAGAAAGGTATTAGAATATACACAGAAATGACTCCATGCATTGTGCTAATTTTTTACATTAAGTACAGAAGTCTGAGCTCAGTGTGAGTGCTTCTGCCTGGTAAGAAGAAAAGCAGGAAGACTTAGTAGTAATGGAGAGAACCAGCGAGTGGAATGCATCGTGGGGTTTCAGGAGGGCAAGCAGACCTAATCAACATAGAAAGTTTTGACAATGAAAGATTAAAAATGATTTAAGATGGGTAACCGTCCCCCACCTCCACCCTTCCCCGTCCCTTTATTTCACAAATCAGAGTAAGGATCCAACAGTTTTAAAACAGGGCATGAACACTCACCTTGGTAAAATTAAAATTATTGGGAAATATAGCTGCAAAATAAGATAGATGAAAATCAGAGTCCATGAGCTGTTTGTTAAATGGATTATATCCCATGAGAGGAGAGGTTTTAATTTTAGTTCTCTATTTACTGTCCCAGTCCTGGTCTCCTACCCACCCCCCTGCTCAGATATGTTTCTCTAAATGGGAGAGGAAAGTGCCAGGCCTTTAGAAGGAAGTTTTCCGTCTTATTTTTCTTCAGCGTGCCATTATTTTGGTGCTTATGTTCGTAAGTTTCACTCACCTTTACAGTATGTTTAAATTTTAGTATGTTGCTTTCGTTCCATAGCAGAAACTTTATTTCTAAACATTCTGTGATGTTTTCTTAAAAGTCAGGAATAGAACTTTGCTGTCCCAGTGAGGACCCCATTTCCTTTGCTCAGCTTTGGACAGGATTTTTACATTTCTCTTTCTCTGGCGATGACGCTGGGCACACTGTGGAGTCAGCACAGGGTTAGTGCGCTAAGGTTGGGGTTGAGCCATCACCCCCTGTCTGAGTTCTTGTGAACAAAAAGCTTATTTTCTGTTTTCCCTCTAACCAGGGTGAGAAAATACAGAGTTAATAACTAAAGACTACAAAAGCATGAAATTTATATTCTGCAGTGTGTATTTAAGAAGTTTGTAAAGGCGAAAAAAAATCCAGCAAATATGCTTACCGCATCTTAAAAAGAGAGTAAATAATACAGCTGTACGTATCTTTAAAAAACTTGCAGAAACCTGATCATACCTTTTTTAGTATTTGTCTGATTATTTAATAATAACCAAGAAAAAGAAGTACCAAAACAAAGGCTCCATTTTCTAAAATTGATCAGCATTGAATTATTTCTGTTTGATGGCCCAGCCTGGTAAAATTGGCTAACGAGATGATTCATTATAATAAGGATAATACTGTCCGCTGTTATTTTGTTGCGGTCTTACTGCTTTGTCTGAATGATAAAAGCTCAGTTGTACAAACTTGAGCTAAATGTTTCCAGTCAGAAACATCAGCCCATATATATCAGCAGTCTTCAGCAAGGCATGAAAACCGGTGCTGTGCAAACAAACCAGCAGTAAGTGATTGTGAGGGGAAGGGGGATTCAGGTTGAAGAAAAGGCACATTTTATTTTTGAGCTATTTTACTCACACTTCCTTTTCAACTGCAGTTTTATTTATTCATATCTAATGATATGAAATATTTTGTAGTGTCTCTTGTGCTCCGACAAGCATTCATCTTTTAAAGATAACACCGTGTTGAAAACTTGAAAATCTTTATTTTGATATAAGAATTTACTTGAACTAAAATTCTAAATTTCTGAATTTATCCTAGCTCCCTGCATTTAATCTCCAGTGGTCCAGATCTCAGACTCCAGAAGTGTTACACTTTTCCCCAGTTGGAACACATGAGGTTTATCTGAAAAAGCATCCACAACCCACAGATAGTGTAAACCTAGTTAGTTTACAGCTACTGGGATAAGAACCTGTGATCCTAAAGGGAGAGGAAGGTGCTTGGCATCTTGCTTTTTGCTAGGGGCAGAATAACAACATGCTTCTTGTTGTCTGTTCATTAAACTATGGGAGCATGTTTTGACTTTTTATCCTTATATTACAAAGTGACTCTTTGCCTAGAAATGGCTGTCGAACTGATGCAGGATTGTACTCCTTAACAGTGAGTAGAAGTCCTACCCTTACAGGGTAGGAAGGACTGAACAGAACAAAATAAGGTGGGATCTCAGAATCTTTGAAAATTACTTTAGCATGTTTTAAAATTTTTCCCTTTTTATATGTTAAAAGGGTTTTTCCGTTCAATAATGATAATCTCTTTTCCTATAGTCCCAACTGTCAAAATGGCAGCTTATTTTAGTAGATGTGCAACCCAGTTTCACTACATTTAGAAAGCAATTTCAGAGTTAATTCTTTGTAACTATAATGATTCGAATATTTTGTATCATGAAGTTTTTATATGAGGGAGGCCATTCTCAATGTATCTGTCACCCAGTTTTTTACTTTGTATAAAGCATATTTAAATAATAATTGGTATATGTTTATTTTATGGAAAAATTTGAAAATATTTTAGTGTCCAATTTAAGCAAGATAATTTTATTGTTCTAAAGTTGTGCAATAAATACTGTTTCTTTCTCAGAAGCCTAAAAAACATAAAATAATTTGCTACCGACACAGTTAATTTCTGCCCCTCCCCATCCCCCTAAATCACGGAAGTATCAATATTTATCTCCCTTTTTATAAAATGAAGGACAGCACAAATATGATGACATCCATCTCTTTTAAATCACTGATTATGTTCTTGGAAAATACGTACTCATAATTTTGTTTTTAAACAGCCTTTTATCAATCCAATTCCCATGTATTCATAAATATAAAAACTTTAAAACTTATACTTAATGTTATCTTGAAGTATGCTTGAATTCTTCACACTGCACTTAAAATGATAGAGAAAGGGACATTAGTTTATTTGAGAAATAAGAGACCCGAAGCTAATTATGGCAAGTATATGAGTTTTAGTAGTTGTGGTCTATGGATGTTTCCTAACAATTCTATTTCAGCAATTACGTCTCTCTTCAGTATTTTTCTGCTTTCTAACATTTTCCAATAATATTCTGTGAGATAGGTTTGTATGCTGTATATAAGTGAACATAGAAATCGGAAAGTAACCGAAGGCTGTCAAGGCAGATCCATTCCTAGTGAGTAGAATCGATTATCGGAAAAAGAAGAGGCCTAATTTTGAACAAATATCCAGGCAGATAGAAGCGCTAACACTATTAAACCTATACTTGTCTTAACAAATGTTCCTAAGGTAATAGTTTACATAAAATCTCCTGATTTTATTACATGATCATTCAATAAAAAAGAGCAGACAAAAAATAATTTATATTCTAATTGTCCTTCCCTTCAGTGGACATTAACTGGGCACACAGTATTAACTGTACACGCTTATGAGTGGAGGGGAAAGCATCTATTTTCATT